TGAAGTGCATCTGTCCTTCAAATTTGGTCTGATTTTTGGTTTAACAAACCTTTGTAATCCCTTCAAATTATAGCAGCTTTCCCTCTTAAAATGTGATTGGATGTTTGACACATTTCTATGAGCCTTTTACATAATCTGCAGAATGTTATAATCAACCAACTCATGAAATTTTAACAATTTTAATTGATGAAACAATATATTAAAAGGGTGATAGTAATGCTTTCTTGTAATGACTCTTACGGCTCCTTTTTGTAAAATAAAAATAGGATTAGTAATGGTTTTACATGCATTTCCCCAGACTTCTATACTCTGAAGTGCACTCTGAGCCTGCAGACTTCTATATCTGTGTGACGTTTAGTCAGGTTTAGGTTGTAATGCTGGATTGAAATGAGAAAATTAAAATGAAACTACATGAGATTCAGATAAAAGTTGTTTGATGTCTCAGAGGTTATCAGTTTTGTCTCACAGCAAGAAGGTCCCGGGTTCAATCCCCAGTTAAGACCTGCAGTCTTTCTCTATGGAGTTTACATGTTCTCYTCATGTTTGTATGGGTTTTCTCTGGGTACTCTGGGCTGCCTTCAGGTCCTGGGTAAAAAAAGTTTAAAAATGATTTTTGCATTAGATCAGTCACATATTGGGGGCGCAACAATAMAGAMAATTCACGATTYGGTTYGATATTTCTTCGWTACCAAAAAGAGAAATGTCCRTGCCCTTCTTAACTTGTAATTTATTGAAATTAATTCAGAAMATTTGTTTAACCTCAAAAGTCCAGTTTTTAAATTAAATGTTGCTGAAACAGCAAGTTTCTCAGTGGATCTGTGCTCRACAATGCAGCYTAGGTGGAGTAGTYGCASACAGATCCACTGATCCTTCAACACAGAGCATCTTCAGAAGACAAGTTGATAAAGTAAATKTTTAAAATCTGTATTGWTCCATACATRGTGTGTGTTGAACCTATAGCACTGTATTAAACGATTGCAGATACATGGATTGTTATACCAGTAATACTAATATACWGTACATATTAAATGTATTAAAACAAGTGAGTGTGGTGAGAACCTAGCATTGAACTAAACAAAACACAAACAGGTGTGGAACAAGTGGAAACAGAAAAAAACAGAATATAGCATTTTAAAAGAAGCGTAAGAGAACTGCAAATATTATTGTTTATTATAAAATAACCCTGCAGAAGTATTACTTTAAAATTTAGGGTTGGATTTAGGAGATTCTACAGGTTTTGTGTTGTTTTACACTGTCGTCCTACATTATCAATATGTTTGAATGGAGTAATCAACAATACAGTTTGTGAAACATAATTCAAGGTTGAATAAAAGGATAAAAATGCGTCGTTGGTTTCTGTTTTTGTCTGCAGAGATACGTGGATGGGGGGATCAGTGATAACCTGCCTCAGTCAGAACTAAAGAACACCATTACCATCTCTCCCTTCTCTGGTGAAAGTGACATCTGTCCTCGGGACAACTCCACCAGCTTCCACGAGCTGCGCTTCACCAACACCAGCATACAGATGAACATGGGCAACTTGTATCGCCTCAGCAGGGCTCTGTTTCCCCCAGAACCTAAAGTAGGTCGAGCAACTTCTGGCAAGACTTTAATTTCATTTAACGTTACATGAATAATAAAGTTACAGCCATAAGAAACATATCTTCAGGAAAAAAACTCAATTTAGACTATATTTTTTAATCAAATTTTGTGACCTTTGAATCAAACATAACATATTTATTCAAGTATAATACGTAAAATTAAATCCATAAAATCATCCATAAAGTTGGGGGGTAGTATTATACTCTGATAAATATTTTTACTTGTGTATTTTAACTGAAATATCGGCTTCATTCACAAAATTATTGAGTCCGGAAATGGCCGCGTTGTAAAAAGCAGTTGAAACGACCTTACCTCTGACACTCCTCCGTGCTTCAGAGCGAGATAATAACAGATCCAGACAGGCGACATGATGTGAAAAAAGGGAGAAAAAAGCAGTCCTGCACCTTAGTAATGATAACAAACTAATGACATTAGCGTGTGACCGAGCYGCTCCTCGAATAACAACAAACATGTTTGTCTGTAATGACTGCYGTCTACCGGTGTTCTGAAAAAGTTTGTATCCCTGAAAAAACGTTTCCCCACCAGAGGGGGCGCTCGCGAGTAGGAAGTAATCTGCCTTTCCCCCACAAGATGGCCCAAATCTCATGTGGAATCTCTGACTTTTGTGTTGGCGCCTCCTGGTGGACTGTGTGTAAAATGCCAGAATTCATATGATACTGCTACAACTGATATATATTTGTTGTGAAAATAACTTTTAGTACATATGTTGTTAAAATAAAATGAACAGTCCAATGATCATTCTACTGTATGTATAAAGACTGCAAAGGCTGAAAAGTCTTGAAGTCTGTATGAAATTGGAGGTAGTTTGAGGATTAAATTTTTATGCTTTTTAAGCTCAAAAAAGCGGGGGTCGTATTATACACAAATAAATATGGTATGTGTTGATCTTTGCTGGGGGTTCAAGGACTGAACATGTTTATTTACTCTTGGGAAAAGAGAGACCACCCTCTTTCTAGTCTTACATGAACAAATAAAACACACGGTTCCATCGTGTCTTTTTTTGATTTAACAAAACTGAGGCCAAAATAGAAACCCAGAGTAAAACTTTCACTGACGACAGACGTTTCCCTCCGTGTCGCTTTGTTTGTCCCAGATCCTGGCAGAGATGTGTCAGAGTGGTTATAAAGACGCTCTGCGCTTCCTCGAGGAGAACAGTGAGTGCCGCCCCCTGCTGGAACGCCTTCAGATCAGTTCACATTCACTTTGAGCCTGACCCATGCCTCTTGTGTCCTGTTTGATTCTGTTAGACCTGCTGATGCTGCAGTGTCCCAGCCCAGGCCTGACGGACGGCTCAGTGAGCTGCTGCAACAAGCCTGCTGAAACAACCAGAGACTGGGTGCTCCGCAGACTCCACCTGCTGCACAACAAGCACTGGTGGCTGGACGAACACATCGCTCTGCCGACCCCCATCAAAAAGGGTGTGACATCTTAGCAGATCTTTGTTTTTCGCTCCCTTCCAGAGGCGTTGAAAGTAACAGTAAGTGTCAACTGTGTTTGCTGTGTTCATCAGTGTTCTGTGAGGCCTGCCAAGACAAACCAGGCCTCTACGCCAAGGTGTCTGGGATGTTCCCTTTAAGAGTGGCCTCCTACATGCTCATGCCTTACACGCTCCCTGTTCAGTCAGCTTATTCTGTGGCCCAGAGGTAAGCTGAAGCTCCCATACACCATTATTATTGTTATTATTATTGTTATTATTATTATTATTCACCAACATGTTAAACTCTTGTATTGATATATGCTGATTACAGTATTTAAGCATCAAAGCCCAGCTGTAAGTCCTCACCAACTCTTCCTCAACCAAATCTGCACTCAGTTTTACTTCTACTCTGCTTGATGTAAGACAAAATATTTTGCCTCAGCATGAATAAACGATGGTTATATCATCACTGTGATGTCACACAGTGTGACGATCAGGAATTAAACAGTCGAGAATTTATTTAAAATGTGAATCGATTCGTTAAAGTGAATGAATTGATTTCATGATTATYGTGTACAAGTTATAAGACAAATTCAGTTTGATACTTGATGACGTTTTATTTGTTTTACTCAGACAATATTCAGTTACAGTTGGATATAAGGACAACAATGCTGATGTTAAAGAAAATAAACATTTGTTTATAAAAAAAACTATAATTCATTTTATTGAAAAAATATTGAAAATAATTGTAATGTTGAAGTTAAACTGGAGAACTGAATCAGGGTTTGAGTGAATGTCAAAGTACATGACTAGTGACACTACAGTTATTCCCTTTAGCAATTAGGAACACTAACTGTTGTTTAAAAGTGATCCTGATGGACCTGGGCTCAAAGCTGCTGCCTCAGGATTAGCAGACCACTGAGCCATCGCAGTCCCACACTAACAGTTMTATAAAACATTGGGCCTCATGCAAGAACCGTTCGTTGAGGAGAACTCGTGGCATTCACCAATTTTCTCATATTCTAAGATTTTTTTTATTAATTTTATTTTTTTAAGATACAAACAACATTCATGAGTGGTCCAGACCTGTCGCATATTTTACGTGCAGTCAGTCTGCTGTTATCCAGATGGATTTTCTTC